AGAAGAAAGACCCAGGCTGGAATGAACTGCATGTGACAGCAACCCCTGCTGGAGACACGTGGCATTACAGCATTGCTCTATGGTGCACAAGTCAAAACTCTCCAGCCTGGGGTGGAGAGGAGTATGGGAGAAAAAAAAGAGAATCAAGATGAAAGCAGAGCAGAAGAATAAATTGAGACGTGTGGAGGAAGAACAGGAATGAAGTGCTGGGTGCATCAGGGATGGAATTTAGAATCCTCAGGTTGTCTTTGGAGAAACACTTCAGTCCATTCAGCCCAAGCCATCATGTCTCTCAAACCTCAACTCTTATCAGATCCTGCCCTTGCTCAAAACCTTGGGTGGATCCCAGTGGGCCACAGCACAAAGTCCAAACTCTCAGCCTGGAATCAGGGCTCTGGGACCTGGCTAAGTCCTCCTCTTTGCCGCATCTCCCAGGGAACCCAGCCCTTGCCTTCTTCCCAAGCAGCCCTAGGCTCAGCTGCTCCTCTTCTCAGCCCCAAAGTTAACTGTCCAGTCTTGCCTGTTCTCCAAGGTCTGACCTCTGCCATCTGGAACAATAATTCATGGAAAGAGCAGGCACTCTGGAGGGAGACAGACCTGTGCTCCAGGCCTGGTGCCACAGTCACTGACTGAAGACCTGTAGGCAAGCTATTTCCCCTCTCAGATCCTCGTTGTTTCTTCATCCAGAAAACAGCAGTCTCTTGGGTTTGTGGTGAGGATTAAATGAGATCACAGATGCGAAAACAGTGCTCAGGAAACTGTGAACTTCGGTGCAAATGTGCAAGGAGTCATCATTATGGCTTAATCCTTCCATCCCTGTTCCCATCTACACCTCCCAACCCATGGCAAGCGAGGGGACCCCTGAGGGAAAGGGTTGAGGCTGCTTCACCTCCACCCCATGTCCCCCAGCAGCCACCAGGACCTGCGCTCAGCCAACCTCAGTAACAGGGTGTGTGGATTTGGATCAGAGGAGATGACACAAAGTGCTCACTGCAAACTCACACCCGACTACAACTCCCAGAAGGACTCACAGACGGCCATGGGCATGGCCACGGGCTTAACCCCTTCCTCCTCAAGTCCTTCCTTCAACTGTATTCTCTGGGGATTGGTCTCAGGCCAGATTGGGAGGGGGAAGGCAGTAGGTGGTCACATGTTTCTGAGCTGCCTCAGCTCCCCCTCACCCCCGCAGAGCTTCTCTCCACAGCCACCCCCGCTCCATTTCAGGCCTCCTTGTCCCTCCCACCCACATGATGACAGCCTCTGGGCTCCTAGCTCTGGTCTCTCCCCTTCCAGACCCCACGGAATCATCCTAAAAGTGTAGGTGAGTGTGGGTGGTTCATAACGGCAGTAGCTGACCTTTATGAGCACCTGCTGCATGCTTGGGCCTAAGTTCTGCACTTCTGGATCCTTCACAATCCTCCTGCCAGGAAACTATAATTGGCTCCACCCCACTATTCACACGAAGCTCAGAGAAGTTAAGTAACTTGCCCAGGACCACACAACTTTGGAGTAACAGTGCTGAAACTGGAAACAATGCCTGTGTGCCACCTTCTCTATTCTGGCTTCGGGGCCTTCTCTGAACCCAGGGTAACCATCCAAAGATTTGTGCACTCAGAAATTCCAGAGTGCCGGGCTCGGTGGCTCAGTCTGTAATCCCGTGCCTTTGGGAGGCTGAGGTGAGTGGATTGCCTGAGCCCGCGGGTTCGAGACCTGCCTGGGCAGCGAGACCTCATCTCTACAATAAATCAAAAAATCAACCGGGTGTGGTAGCGCATGCCTGTAATTCCGGCTACTTGGAAGGTTGAGGCAGAAGGATCGCCGGAGCCCAGCAGGTCAAGGCTACGGTGGCTGGGAGCGGCCACTGCACTCCAGTCTGGGCGACAGAGTGAGACTCCAACTCAAAAAAAAAAAGAAAGAAATTCCAGAGTCCACACATCTCAGCAACTACCCTGCTGGGAAGTCCTCCTAGATATCTGACTCAATCCTTTCAGCTGTACCAAGCCCCAATCGCCTCCTATTTTTCAGGAAGGGCAGTGAGAAGGGTGACTTCAGGGACTTCAAGAAGTGGGTCATGTCACTGGGGACCTGGCCTTTCCCAGGGAGTGAGCAGCTGAACAATGGGAGATAAATGTGTGAAAACATCCCTGTTACTAAATATATCGACTGCCCTAGAGGATGGGGGTGCTGATAGGGAGTCCGCGGCTCCCGCCCTGGAGGCCACAGGCTTGTGGTTCAGACAAGCTGGGGCACTCGGAGCACAGACAAGGCTGTTCTACTGTACTGCGGGCTGAGGCAGAGGGGGCGGAGGCCACATGGAAGAGGGTGAGGTCTCACTCTCCCGACCTAAGCTGCCAAGCCCAAGCCAGCTGACTGGCATATCACTTTGGGTTCATTTGCATACCACTTCCTGGAAGGGGGCCCGCATTCCCCAGCCACTGCTTCTCCCTCATTTCCATGGTCTCTTCTGTTCACTGAGCACCCCATTCTCAAGCAAGCCTGGGCCCCTCAGCAGGCCCTGATGGGGAGCATGAGGAGAGGCCAAGAAGTTGCAAATTGACAACCATGTCTACACTTCAAGGCTGCTGGGAACACCTCTGCAGCAGAAATTGCTTCCTATAGTCTAACTCAATGCCCCGCTCCTCTCCTGCTCCATCACTGCCCAGTGCTTACTGCGAGTCTTGCACTCCATGCCTGGACCACTGTGAACTCCTCCGGCCTGGCCAGTCCAGTCCTTGCATTTATTTATTTGTTTATTTATTTATTTTTGAGTCGGAGTGTCACTCTGTCACCCAGACTGGAGTGCGGTGGCCACTCCCGGCTGGGCTCTGGCGATCCTTCCGCCTCAGCCTTCCAAGTAGCCGGAATTACAGGCGTGCGCTACCACGCCTGGCTGATTTTTTGATTTATTGTAGAGATGAGGTCTCGCTGCCCAGGCGGGTCTCGAACCTGCGGGCTCAGGCAATCCACTCACCTCAGCCTCCCAAAGGCGCGGGATTCCAGGCTGAGCCACCGAGCCTGGCTCAGTCCTTGCATTTAAAACAACCCATGCTTGCTAGGGCCTCAAGGCCTTAGCACATGGTGTTCCCTCTTCCTGGAACTGTCCCCCAATTCTGCTTGAAGTGACTCCCCCTTCCAAGGTATCCCCAACGGCCCCTCCTCCTAAATGCCTTCTCCTGACTTGGCACAGGTGAAAAGGCTCTGGGTTTCCCGCCGTGTGGTCACTGGCTCTGTCCATCTGCCCCCAGGGATGTCCTGTCCAGTAGGCAGCAGCCCAGGGATGGCTCCCAATGAATGAAGATGAATTCCAATCCCCCTTCTGTCTCTCCCCTCCCCCAACCTCTCCCTCCCTAGATGACTTCACTCTCCTGTGGGTGGGTCAGTGATTGACAGTGTCTCTGCCTCCAACTCCCCCTCATCCCCACAGCCCACTCGCATGAAGCCAGGAGATTCCACAACCCTTCTGCCCTGGTAGGAAGTTCTTCCTGTTGTCTACCCTCGCTCCCTTTTCTGGTCATGCCTGCTCCTTTATCACCATTTTTGAAGGAGTCGGGGCCTGCCCCTCCCTCAGTTTCACTGCTTGAAGTTCATAAAGACAGTTCACTCCTCCCGCTCCCTGCCTAGGATGTGCTCGTACGACTCCTGGCTCACTATGCTCCTGTCCGGTCCTGCTTAGGAGAAGGACAGAAGGCCAGGCTGGGTAGCCTGTAGTAGCTGGGTCCTGTAGAGAAGACCCAGGGCAGGCATAACTACACAAGGGAGGGGCTGCCCAGGAAGGAAGGAATGAGCATCCCGTCCCTGGAGGTGTGCAAACAGGGGGCTGGATAGATGTGCAGGCAAGCTGCAGAGATGAGTAAACCAACTGATAGAAAACAACCCAGATGCTCTTAGTGTCTCCTCTCACTTGGAGACTGCACTCAGCTGGGTGCCCAGCCCTGTACTGTGAGTTGGGTGGGAAGGCAAGAGGAGGCAGTTCCTGCCTTTGAGGAACTCCTTGGCCAGCTGGGTAAGGCGTGAACACACAGGGGATGTCACAGGGGAAGGCCGAGTCTGAGCCACAATTTTGATTCTGTATCATCAGGGAAAGACTTCAGGGTGGGTCATGAGGTCAGAGGGAAGGAGAATCCAGGGGGGCTTCCTAGGAGAGGCTTCCTATTCAAAAACCTTTCCTCAGCTCCATTTCCTATGAAAAGACCAAGACCCTTAGACTGGCATTGGAAACCCCACAGAATCTGGCCCCCTCTGTCCCTCTTCCTCTTCTCAATACCCCTTCTTGCTATAGCCAACCCAAGCTCCTTCTGTCCCTTGAATGCACTGCCCACCTTCACACCAACCCAGCCTGACGTACTGTTCTCTCTGCCCTTTCCTGCCTGGGTAATCTCCTTCGAGGTCTGGCTCAAGTGTCTCTTCCTATGACGCCCTGGCTTGCCACGGGCCCCACGTTCCTCTCTGCTCACACTGCAGGGTTGTCAGTTTCCACTTCGGCCTCCCTTATCCCTGAGAGCTGGGACTATGTCAGTGTCCTCTCTGTGTCCCCCGTAATCAGCCCAGTGGGCACCAAGCAGGTGCTGAGGAGCCCCTGTTGAATGAATGGATGAACAGATGCAGGAGAGGAATCATGCTGAGTGGGTAGATTTCATAGGTCCAAGCAGCAGAAGCCTGGGGGGTGCAGGCCTGGTTTGATAGCAGCATAGCCGAGGGTGAGACTCCCAGTCCATTAAGACCGAAGGGGGTACTGCTGGGAGCTCTCCGCCCA